TACATGGAAGAGAAAAAATAGGAAGTCTTATGTCTATACCACCCACCTCTGCCCTACCTTCATTTGCATTATCTTAGAATTTCCTTCTATTTTATGTAGACAAGTAATTACTTAGTAGAGGCTTACAGGAATGCTGAGGACTAATTTTCTCTCCACCTGTAAAAGTAAAAATTAAAATTAAAATACCTGCTGCATTTCTTTTATTTGTTTTTTAATTGTCAGAGGGTGGGTGTGCTTGCCAGAGAGACAGAGAAAGAGAGGGAAAGCACCCCCCAGTGGGGTGTAGAATACCACAATCTTCTCCAGCATTCCTCTATCCTGCCAGAATTATGAGGCATGTAAGCATATGCACCCAGTGGGTTTTTCAAGCCACCAGGGTTGGCCAGGTGAGATCTAACTCCCTAACCACTCGTATACAGGTCCTTTCCACCGCTGTTGCATTTCAGAAAGGATAATAAACCTCTTCCACTTTCTGACTTCATGAATACCGCCTTGGTCTCATTTCCTAGCTGGACTCAACAATCACTCCAATTGCTTCCTCTTCCCTATCTCCAACATCCAAATCATCACCACACCCTGTGAGTTCCACCTCCTTAACCACTCTCCACAGTGGTACCTCCTCTTCCTTCTTTAAGTGACTGGTTTTCTCATTCACTACTTTTCCTGTGGCTTATAGCCACAACATTGCCTAAATGGACTTCCTGTCCCTACTTATCTGTACTTTCTCACTGTCAATGAGATCTTGCATTCATACTGTTTGTGCCCCACTCACAATCTTTCCACCCACCTTTTACACCAGTCATTGCTGGTGGGATCAGAAGCACCCCCCAGCAGTACTATTGCCTAGCTTACTTCTGTGTCTTCAAGCGGGACACCCATGTGAACCTGCTCAGCACTTAGACTTGGGCAAATCTTAAAGGATATAGAAACACAATAAATGGATGTGAATACCAGATATAGAGTGTGTGTGAAAGAGTCTGAGGAAGGACATTTAGAAGAAAAATAGAGAGGCAAAGCATTAATGGGACAAAGAAATGTGGTATTATCTGTTGAAGATAATTTTATAGTTTTAACAACTGAACTAGGGAGAAATGTTCACATATTGGCATATTCACTTTGTAAGCTAAATAACGTGATGGAATGTATAAAAGAACATGAAATAAAATATTTAGTAATATAAAAAGGAAGTTAAAAAAAAAAGGGCAAGGGCATATGGCCAGCAGGTGGCATGGGGGTTAAGAGATCTCACACATATGGCCAGCAGGTGGCATGGTGGTTAAGGTACTAGATCTCACATGGGCAACTCTGCAGTTCAAGTCTTGGACCTGGCAGCTTGAAAAACATTCTGGGCATGCCTAAAATCCTGAGAGGAGAATGGAAGAGAAAGCACTATGGCATGGCCATGCTTCCAGGGGGTGATTTCTCAGTTGCCCTCTCTATCCATCTCTCTGTGTGTACATGTGCTCTATGGCAAAAATCTAAAATTTAGGAGAAAAAAAAAAAAGGCAAGGCAGTTAACATTCCATTGGGCAATTCTTAACCAGTGAGGGAAGAAAGCAGGTGCATTAGTGAACCCATTTCCCATCCCTAGACAGACAATTTCAAAGGACTTTCTGTGTGGTTCTCATAAGGTCCCAGAATCCATCCTCCGTAGCCTCTAGTGATGATCACCTAGACATAGAACATCTACGTTGGTCTTCTTCTTTCCCTGTGTCCCAGCCCACTTGCTCCTATTTCCTGAGATTATCTCCAAAAAGCAACTACCTGTCTATCTCCTATATCAGGCCCTGCTTTCTGGGGAGAGCTCCAGCTACAGTAGCTCCCTAGGTATTCTTCTAAAAAAGCAGTCCCACTTCTCTCTGTTCTTTTTATTTGGCTTTCACACAGTTGTTACCTGAATAGTTTCATTCCTAATTTACCAGTGGGAGAAAAAAAAAAAGATAATTTGGAAAATACTAAGACACATAATAATGATATTTGTAAGTTTGGAAGAAGATAAAGCAAATTTTACCTATTAAAAAAAGATTATTTTCACAATTTTCCATAGGTTTCACAGCTGAAAGGAAAGCGGCATAAAAAGATAGGGAGGAAGAAAGAAGGAAGAAAAAAAGAGACACAGGAAGGGAGAGGGGATTGAAAGCCGCTTGCTTATAAGACAAAATTTACACACCTTACATTGACCTTCAAGGTGTCTAGAGGGCATAAGGTGACTCCATACCTTTCCATCTACCTGTAGATTTCTAGAATGAATAAAGGAATTCAGCCTTCATATTTATGTATGTTACATTTACTATCGTTTTCCAAGAAAGCTGTACCATTTAGAAACATTTTTTCCTCAGTTGATCTCTCTGTTGGACAGTTACTCATCTTTCATGCAACACTAATTCATCTTCCTTCTGAAACCGATTGCTCCCCCATCCTCAGACACACCCACTGATGTGCTCCCCCATCCTCAGAACACACCCATGGTACCCCAAGTTAATGCCAGCCACCACTATCACCACAGTAAGTAGCTTTCACAATGGGCCAGGAGCTCTGCTTACTGCTTTACTTGGACTGTTGCACAAAAACCCTATAAGATTGCACGTAATTATGATCCTAATGGTATAGGTCCAGACAGAGAAACTGAGGCTTTGAAAGGTTTGATAGCTCGTGGTGCTGCTGAATATTCCTGTAGGATTCCCACAATGGTGTGGTTACTCATGTATTCTGTTTCTTGCCAGACCTAAGGGAGTTGTAAAGATAGGGACTGAGTCCTATACAGCTCCATAATCATCTCGCAACATAGCCTAGCTTGGATTTTAGTGCATAGAAGGTAAAAGAAAGTACCAATTTATGTAATGAGGATATACACAAACCTAAAGGAGGAAGGTCTCAATCAGCCCCCTACCCCCACCTTACAAAGCTTCCCCTCATCTCCTCACCACTGACAGCTGACACTGCTCCACCTCCCAAGGCTAGACTTGGACTCTCCTTGCTACTTCAGAATCTCACTTTTTATAAAAAAAAAAAAAAAAATAGGGTCAGTAGGTGGCACAGAGGTTAAAGTGACTGGATCCTACATGACCAGTTGTGCAGTTTGAGTTCCAACCGGTGGCTTGAAAATTTTTCCAGGCATGTGTGCATGTTCAAAATCCTGAGAAGAGAGTGGAGGAGAAGGGGTTGCAGCATGGCCATCCCTCCTGGGGGATTATATCTCACTTTCTCTCTTTCTATCTCTCTCTGGTGAGCAAATGTACCCTGTAGAAAACTAAAATTACGTGTATGTGTGTGTGTGTGTGTGTGTGTGTGTGTGTAGTTGTCAGAAAAGTCATGACACATTTTTACATAGAGAAATCTGTGAGATTTTGTTGTCATAGCTTGAACATATTGCATTCTCTCTATAATTGTCTCTTGCTTTTTTTGAAAGTCCTTCAGGGTCTCCAGGGCAAGGTCCTTGCCAGCTGTGTCTTTGCCCACCCAGTGTTTCATCCAGGGTTGGGCACTGAGGAGAATGCTATGACAGTACAAGGGTAGGGCATTTGGACAGGCCTGGTAGGTGTGACAGCCTGGTGTTTTCCCCAGCTGGACCGTGGCCCTGTGATCCTACGGCTAGCCTCAAGGCTGACCTTCATGTCTCAGAAATGCCTTTGGATCTGGCTTCTCTCAGGAGCTCAGGTTTATAAACAAAAAACAAACACAGCAAATAAAAACATTATCTCATTGGTGCTTGAGTCAACTGCTCCAGATGTCTTGGGAGATTGGGGGTGGGGTGAGGATGGGGTGCTTGCTAAAGAAAAGGCCTGAGCACAGCCCAGGCTATGGTGGGGCTGCAGCAAGGTGTATGGCGGGTGGGGGTGAGATGACTGCTCAGGTTTGGGTGTCTGCAGTCAGTGGGGTCCTCTTCACTAGGATCTCCACCCCTAACCCATCCCTACCAGTCAGCCATGGTGGACATTCTAAATGTCCTTGACCTCCACCTGTCAGCTCTGTAACCTCACAACTGTATCTTCAGAGTTGGCACAGGGTAACTGCTCTATGACAACAGAGTGGTTGAATTCTATTCATTATCTCATTAAATCTCCCCAAATGAAGAGGTCAAGTTTATGAGCCCCATTTCACAGATGAGGCTGAAGTTCAGAAAGTAAAGGCATTTGTCCATAGTCACAGTAAACAAGCAGAAGGACCAGGACTTTACTCAAGGTCATTTGCCTAGCTTCTGAGCTCATCCCAATCCAGCCGCACCAACAAGATGTGACTATAGTCAATAGCCAGCTTCTCAGTTCTCGCTCCTCTCTTACAGTGGAGTTAAGAGGAATGGAATGAGAGACAATTAAGAAATGTCAGCTATGTTTTCTGAATCCCTATTCCCTCTGCTGTTGAACTACAGTAGAATGAGCTTTGGGGGCTGGTCCCTTGGCACAAGGATTAAGCACTGCTTAAAGGAAGCCCAGATCCTGTATGGGCAACCAGGGCTTGAATTTCAGCCTCATTAACCATTAGCTTCACACCAGGCTTGTGTACGTGTACTCAGAGTCCTGATGGGATGAAGAATCGGAGGAACAAAATTTGCAACCTGATCAAGCTTCATTGGGAGGGTTTTTTTTTCTCTCTCTCTTTCATTCACATATGCATGCTCTCTATCATAAATAAAAATATGAACTTTTTTTAAAAAAAGGAAGAAACAAAGAAAGAGCTGTAGTCTAGGAGTCAGGAAGTATGGGTCAAGACCTAGACTCCCTTGCTACAAAAACTAACTTTCTGTCCATATTAGGTGTTCCCCATTTTACAGAAATCTTCAATACATATTCCTCTTATGAACATTCCACGAACTTCAGTCAACAATGTGGGTTCATGCAGCCCCCACAGATAAAAAACTCAAAGCAAAGGGTGACTTTGCCAGGCAGCCTCCTGATTCTGCCTGTCCACATGGATTTTCCACATTCCAAACACTGTTACAAAGATGCAGTAACTCCAAGAAGAACTGTGCTTCATTCTCTTATTTTTCTCATGTGTTTCAGGAGTTGGCTCTTTCCAGTGTTTCATTCTCCAGACGTGATTCAGAGAAGTTTCATTACATCTTGACATTTTCCACCCAGTCTGAAAGTCCTGCATGTGGGCCTATCCTGAGGCTCTTTGCTGTTTATTTGGTAGCTAATTAGTGCTGGTGGAAGAACAAGTGTAGCCTGAAGGTTGTTGCCAAGACCAGCAGCATCCAATTATCTACTGGAGGTAAGATTAGTTGAAACAGAACTCAAAGTGTGGAAGAGCCTAACAGAAAAAGGTCATGTTGAAAGAGTATGGAGAAGAGGGAGAGTAGAGAAGATGGAGGGATGTGGGGTATTTTGTAGGGGAGAAGTCTGGCTAGATTTAAAAGAGAATTTAGATTTAAAAGTCATAACAGTGATAAGTTCTTGTCCCCTACCCTCCATATTAAAACACATTTGAGATTTTGGGAGATTGTTATTATGGGCCAGGCCAGGTGAATTTAATAATTCAACTCAATAACTCAATTTGCATTAGGTAAATGGGCACATTGTCAGGCCAAGACAGTACCAAAGATGTAGAGATGAATAACGAATGGTCCCCTGGTTCTTAGATGATAAGGCAGTAAAGATGGTGAAACAGAAGGATGAGTGTAATAAAGAGAGATAACAGTTTTGTGTGAGCTCTGAGTGAAAAAGAATAGAAGTCTTCCAGTTCTGGCTATGAGTGTTGAGGAAGACTTCCTGGCAAAAGAGATAATTGAGGTGGAACTTTAAGAGTAAGCAGAGATTGGTGGAGAAGGAAGAGCACTGAAGGCTTTCCAGCCTCTGTACTGCATGATCCTGAAAGTGAGCATCTCATTAAATTGTGTGCCCTAGGTGCCTTTCTTATTTTGCCCTAGTCTAAAGGCTATGCAAAAGGATGTCCACAAAGTAGCTCAGGTGGATCAAGAAGCTACAAGCACCTGCAGGTGAAGGAGGTATGGTTAGAATGCCCCAAGATGGGGACCAGCAGTTAGCGTAATGACTATGTCACTGGACTCCCACGTAGTCAATCGCGGTTCGCGTCCCGGATCCGGTGGCTTAAAAACTCACATGTGCGTGCGTGCCCAAGATCCTGAGAGGAGAATGGAGGAGAAGGGATTGCGGCATGACCATCCCCCCGGGGGGGGGAGTGATTTCTCGCTTTCTGTCTCTATGTCTCTCTCTGTCTGTCTGGCGAGTGCACGCGCCCTATAGTGAAAACCTCTCCAAAAAAAAAAAAGAATGCCCCAAGATGGATGAGGAGGTACAGGAGTCTTATCATCAGCCTGAGGACTTGGAACATCATACTATAGACTTGCACTGTTCAATATGGTAGCTACTGGCCACAAAGGGATATTTAAACTAATTAAATTTAAATAAAATGAAGAATTCAGCTCCTCAGGGGGACAAGCAATATATGCTTCAAGTGTTCAATAGGTATGTATGTCTATTGTCTAATATATTGGACAGTGCAGACATGAATAATTTTTATTGGGCAGCATTATTATAGACAATAGAAGTCATTGAAGGTTTGTAACTTGAAAAGTAAGAGGATTAGACTTATGTTTCAGGTCATAGTAGGAATGTCTGCCTACAGAGGGAAGAAACCCCAGAAAAGCAATCATTTGGGAGTCTGATCTTTCTTCAGGTGACCTCTGAGAGGATGGACAAGAAAAGGGAAAGGTGTAAGAGTCCTTGATGAGGATGGAGAATGGGATGAAGAATGAATGTCATTCTATTACTTCAGGTGACTTTGATGAGGATGGAGAAGAGAAGTGGTGGTGGGGACCCAGGATTAAGTCCTTTCCAGAGCTGGTGCCACTATAGCTAATGGGCTCAAGTGTTCCTACCTCAGTCTTTAGAATTCAGTGTCTTCTGCATATCTACTTTATCTGACATCAGAGAATTCTGAGACAGCCAAGTAGGTAGAGACTCAGACACAACTTACTTTGGTATAATTTCTATGGTGGTACTTGCTAACTGTTAAGAGTTTGTGCAAGTTTTTTATTCTTTCTTTTTTTTGTTTGTTTGTTTTTACATTTAATGACTGTATATCATTACAGCTTACCAAATGAATTTTCCCATCATGAATACACTGTGTATTTGTTCATTCAAATATATTACCATACATATTATCATCAATAGATAATTTTAAATTTTCATGTCCCTTGTTTTGCTTCTTTTCTTTTCTCCCTTGATTTACACCCTCTTACCTTTCTCCATTTCCCACCCTCCTCCCACACTGTCTCTGGTATCCACAGTTGCTCTCCATGCACGTATACCTTCCAGTCTTTCAATTTTTGCCATAGAGCACAGACATTCAGTATATATTGAGTGGGGACATACAATGCCTCTCTTTCATAGTCTGGTTTGCCTCACTTAGCAGTAAATCTTCTATATTTATACATTTTCTATCAAATACTAGGGTCTCACTGATTTGTTTTAATCCCTGAATTTTAAAGTTTTAGAACTTTTCTCTTCTTCTATTTCTCATACGTAAAAATGGAGATAATAATAGCATTACATTGTAGGATTATTAAGTGTCAAATGAGATAGTTTTTATAATGCATTTAAGTCAGAATCTGGCACATTGTAAGTCTCAATAGGTATAAGATTATGTAATGATCACCTAGAATTAATGGGACCTTGGGGTTTAGAGCATAGATTCTGGGTCATTCTTCATATGCTGAAACTTTGAAACTTAGCTCAGTCACTTCATGTTCAGTCGCGTTGGGAAATATATATCAAATTCTCTCTACTTCCATTTCCTCATCTCTGAAATAGGGATAGTACTAGTACCTGCCCCATTAATTATTGGGAGGGTTCAATGAAACCTTGTATGTAATGGGCTTAGAATATATAAAGAACCCAGACATATAAGCTCTCCTCCATTTATCCTTCTCTTTAAATATTGATCTCTCAAAGGACACTACTTTGGAAATCTTGCTTCTACTTCTCCACAAACCCTCAAGGACAACATTTCTTCTTCTTCATGTTTACAGGAGACTTATCAGCCTCCTCTTCCATTGCCCAGAGAAACACACTAGAAGTAGCTTTTGATAAGTAAGGGAGCTTTGGGAATTTTAAAACCTTTTTTGGGAGCTGTCCCTTATGACCACACCTCATCAAGGGGTGTTTTCTTTCTCTCTGGAAAGATATGCACTTCTGACAATTTAGAGGAAAAAACAAACAAACAAACAATCAACAACAACAAAAAACCTTTTCAGTTCTCCTCTTGACAAAATCTAACTTTTAAGACCCTTGACTTACTATAGTCAAGGGGAAAATGTTAAAAACTGAACACTTATACTGGGCTTCTTATGGAGTTATTGCTCAAATTTAAAAAGTAAATAAATAAATAATTTTCCAGGGAAATGGAGTCCCTTGAGTAACTGAGAGAAGATGGTTTTGTGCAAGGAAATTTGAAAGAAGAATGTGAACTAATACATTTCAGAAGTATGCTTATCCTGTGACCTATGATGTGTTTATTGAGTTCCTCCTATGGGGCCCCGGGCTTTAGTTCCAAACTCTGGACCCAGGATGAGTTAACACAGGTCCTTTATTCTCCACAGGTTTACAATAGGTGTTTTTTTTACCCAGGGCTTCTTAATGACCTCTCTGAAATTTTCTCAGGCCTTTCTCAAAAGGAGAGTCTCAAGTAGACATCAGGAACATATTGGAATCCCTGGCAAATGCCCCTTGTGCCTAGGAACTGCTGAGTGATAGAAGTGACACCCATGTTTTTAAAGCCACTTAATTCCCATCACTAATCCCTCACATTCTTCTCCACAGGGTCATGCATATAAATCACAAGTGATTATGCCATTCACCACTCTGCTTCTCTGAGTTGCCCTGACATTGATACCAGGATACCTACTTGCTGTTTTGTATCAATAAAAGACTGGGAGAACCCTGAGATTAATTCGAGTATTAATAATTTAAATACTTAATCAGTACTGTAATAGGAGTTGGGAGATAGGGACAGTTAGTAGACCTTTGACACTTTGTATAGATTAATTCTCTTGCTTACCTTTGGCCATGATTTAACAAGATGTATATTGTTGTCCTTGATTTATAAGAAAGGACACCAAAGCTTGGAGACCTAATGATTATACAACTTGGCAGAGACAAGCTGGGATCTGATTTTTTATCTTTATTCCCAAAAGGCTCTTTGCTCTGTTGACTTTTCCATGGTGCTTGCTGTGTGCTATAATCTTAGTAAGGTGAGAGGCCTTGGGGTAGGTACAGCAATTTATATTATAGGCCTCACTCAGAGTCCCTATTGACTCCTCAAATTTTGAATAAATATATAATTTATCATCCATATTGGAGACTTCTGAAAGAGAAAGGGATGGTTATTAATTATGCACAGATAAGTGAAAATTGGGACATAGGTCACTCTACCAAAATTAGCCTGGAGGGTGAGTGATCTGACTTGCCCTGATAATAGTTATCTATTTATGTTGATACACAGAATAGATCTGCATGTGAAATTGCTTCCAAAGAATTGCAGATGGTAAATTGTCATTACCCCAACCTAGTTTTCCATTCAACTTTCAACAGATCAAGACAGAGGACATTTGGAAGTCCATGTTAAGAATTTAGTTGAGGGACCAGCAGTTAGCATAATGGCTATGTCGCTGGACTCCCACGTAGTTGACCGCGGTTCGAGTCCTGGACCCGGTGGCTTAAACTCACGCCAGGTGCATGTGCGTGTGTGCCCAAGATCCCAAGAAGAGAATGGAGGAGAAGGGATTGCGACTTGGTCATCCCCTCTGGGGGGTGATTTCTCACTTTCTATCTCTGTCTCTCTCTGTCTGGCGAGCGCATGCGCCCTATAGCAAAAACCACTCAAATAAATAAATAAATAAAGAGAAAAATTTAGTTGATTAGTACACTAGAAAAGCAGTATAAAATGGTCATGATTCAAAGGTCATACTTTGGTGTCAAAACTTACTGAATTTGTCTCTTCTTTCTTATTTATTAGCTGTGTGAACTTGGGAATATATTAGGTCGTCGGAAAAACCATGACATATTTTCTAGGTAAAAATGTGTCATGACTTTCTTGACAACCCAATAGCTTTATGTCTCAGGCTCTCTGTTATCTATTTACAAAGTTGTTATAATTAGTGATTGATGTTATTTACAGTGCTACTTATTAAATCAAAGCATAATTATAACTATAAAAATGATTTATAACTGCTCATAGTGATTTCCTTCTAGAGTATAGTATGGAAATGGGGGGGGATATAAAACAGTAATTGTTCAGTGGAGAAGCATAACAAATACTACCTTGGCCAAGTGCCAAGTGATCAAAGTTACCAGGTACAAGAGGTATGTGGGAACCCTGTATAATCTTTTCATTTTTTTTCCCAGTAAATTTAAAGCTGTTCTAAAAAATAAAGCCTATTTTTAAAAAATAAAAAAGGAAGAAAAACTATGAAAAACTGTATTGTGGGACCAGGTGGTGGACCCACAAAGGTAAGTTCCAGGTTCACATCCTGGGACCTCCCTGAGCACACTGTGTGCCTGTGATCTGGGCCAGCTGAGACTGGGGGTGGATCATGGCATGAATACCCTGTTAGGAGTGCCTGTATCTCTTGTCTTTCTTTCTTACTATCTCTGTCTTATGGAAGGAAGGAAGGGATAAAGAAGTAGAGAGAAAAAAGAAAGAACTGTATTGTAATAGCCATTTCCTGCAAAGACTCATTTTTTTTTTTTAACACACTGATAGGTGGTGCTTTTTCCTAGGCCTTGCATTAGGTGCTGGGTTATAGACACAAATAAGGCATGGTTTTTATCTCCTAAAGAGCTTCAAGCCTAACAGAAAGTTAGTCAAGTACTCTCCTCCTTTACATGCTATAGTAGAGGCAGGAACAACAGGCCATGTGAATCAAATCAGGTCCTTTTTCCACTTAAAGAGGTATCATTAGGTAGAGGGCTTTGTACTCAATTTGAAGGACAGTTGGAGTTCACCAAGTAGACACCGGCTGGCAGCATTCTGGGCAGAGGGGGTTGTGAGGGCAAAATCCTGAGAAATGAGAAGATAGGGTATGCTCAGGAAACAGCTGGGAGAGGCATGTGGCATATTTATCCCTTTAGTATTTTTGAGTACCTACTGTATGTCTAGGGCTGTGGTAGGAGCTGTGTAAAGGTGAGAAAGACAAACATGGTCCCTGCTCTCAATAATAGGAAATGAGGGGATCAACAGAGGGCGTAATGGTTATATCACTTAGACTCCCACATAGTCAGCCATGGTCTGTGCCCCAGACCTGGCAGCTTAAAACTCATGCCCGTTGTGTGTGCGTGTGTGCCCAAGATCCTGAGAGAAGAGGGCATTGATTTCTCAGTTTCTGTCTCTCTGGTGAGTGCATGCATGCAAAAATCTTCCTTAAAAACGGGGGGCAGGTGGCGTAGTGGGTAAGGTGCTGGAAACGCTCACATGGCTGACCACGGTTCTAGTCCTGGACCTGGTGGTTTGCTTTCTCACTTTCCCACTCTCTCTCTCTCTGGTCAAATTAAAATAAATGAATGAATAAATAAAATAAATAATTATTTAAAAAAAGAAGAAAAGAGAACAAAGTACAAATCATCCCAAATGCTGACATATTTAGAAATCAGCCATTTAAATGAAATAGCAAATATGAAATAGTGGTGAGTGTCAATGTGTATGTGTGAAGGTACTATTTAGAAGAGGTGACTGTGCTGGTTTTGCTGCTGTAATAAATGACCACAAACTTGGTAACTTAAAAAAACCCCAGAAACTTAAGGACCAAGCAGTGATACAGTGGTAATGCGACTGGACCCACATGGAAAGGTCCCTGGGTTCTATCCTGGGCCTCCTTCTACATACTAGGCACATATATAGGCCATTGATCTAAGCTAGCCAATGCTGGAAGTGGGTCATGGTATAAAGATCTTATTGGGAGTGATTGTCTCTTTATTTCTGTCTCTTTCATGGAAGAGATAAATAAAATTATAAAATAATGAACAATGACAAAACACAGAAACAATAACAGAAATTTGTTACTTTCTAATTCTGGAGGCCAAAAGTCTAGAATCAAATCAGCAAGGGTATACTCCGTCTGATGGCTCTAGAGGACAAGCGCTCCTTGCCTCCTTTAGTGTCTGTTGGCTGTCAGCATTCCTTGGCTTGGGCTGCTCAGTCCAGTCTCTGCCTCCATCTTCATCTTGCTGCCTTCTCCCTGTGTGCCTCTGTGTTGTCTCCTCTTCTTAAAAAGACACCTGTCATTAGAATGGGGTCTCACTAAACTGTAGGATGATCTCATCTTGGGACCCTGAACTTGATCATACCTGCAGTAACCTATTTACAAGTAAGCTCACCTTTACTGTTTCCAGGGGTTAGGATTTGAACATACCTATTTGATGGGCTACTCACTGCTCATCCCACTACAGTGATCAAAGAAGGGCTCTCTGAGATGGAGACATTTGTGTGGAAGATTATGACATTACAAAGAATGGAGGAGGAATGCTCTAGCAAAGGGACAATGTGGCTAGACACCTTGAAATAAAAGTTGTGTGTGGTGACTAAGGAAGTAAAAGGATTCGAGTGGAGCTGAAACAAGTAGAGGGGGAGCAGCATCTGAGAAGACTGCAGGGCCTCGTAGGGGGTCTCAGAATCATCACTGGAGCTTGTCTCCAATATAGTACTCAGCCTAGAACTCTCCTTTTCACCTACCCACTGCTTGGAGTGGGGTGGTGTATGGTTCATGTATTACAGTTGCTCCTGAGCCTCAGTAAAGTGACATTACACACTGCAGGAAGAAGTCCTTTGTTTGCAACCATTTCAGTGTCATCCAACTGGAGTGGCGGCAGCTTTATAGTGCCACAGTGAGCCTGGATCTCAATGCCAACTTCCAGTTTCGATGCAACATGCCCCATCAAGCCCCTTTGTGAGCTTCCAGCTTATGTCCTGCCCTGCCTGTTTTTGTTTCAAGTCACTGAGGCAGCTGTGGTGTTGGGACATAAGCTCTGGCCTAAAGGGAGCTGAGGTTGAATTTCATCTGAGACTCTGACCAGTCATGTAAACTTGGTAAAGTCAATTCATCCCTTAAAGCTTCCACTTTCTCACCTGTGAAAAAGAAAAACCAATCTCAAAGCAAGGTTGTGAAACTCAAATAGGATGATGCATTGGAAAATGTTTTATGAATAATAATAGGTTTTACACACAGAAGGTGGTGTTGTCAATAGTATTGAAGTCCTGGAAGTCTATCTTTCTGTAAGAGGGAAATGCCCAGGATCCACTTTGTCCCATCATAAACTTACATACTCTGCACCAACAGCTATATGTCATTGTAACTCCTCAAGGGGTTAATATGCTTCACATCCTGTGGGGGTACCATCATGAGACAAGCTCTTTAAATGGAAAGAAACAAAACTCAAATTTGTCTGCCTATAAAAAACAGGACCAGTAGATGGCATAATGGTTACATCACTGGACTCTGACATAGTCAACTACAGTTCGAGTCCCAGACAGGGTGGCTTAAAGCTCATGCCAGGCCCATGCATCTGCGTGCCCAAAATCCTGAGAGGAGAATGGAGAAGAAGGGATTGCGGCATGGCCATCCCCCTGGGGAGTGACTTCTTACTTTCTATCTCTGTCTCTCTGGCAAGCGCACATGCCCTGTAGCAAAAAGCTCTCTCTCAAAAAAAAAATAAAAATAAAAAAATAAAGTAGCTTGCCATTGAAACTTGACTCCTTTGAAAACCTACTGAAATTAGCTTGGAGGAAAAAAGAGAAGGAAAAAAAAAATACCTGCGTAATTAATCAGCATTTTGTCCAACCCAATTTGGTTTTTAAGGACATTCATCCAGACCAACATCTCTGCCAAAGCAAATCCTAGGAGCCCTGTGAGTGTCTGCTTGGACTTGACATCTTTGTTGTCTGCAGTCCACTCATGTGCAAACTGTTCTCAATGAAGGTAACAGTTTGTGGTAATGAAAACCGTGTGGGCTGGTGGCTGCTGTCAGTAAAAATAGCCAACATGGCCTGAGTGGCCGACACAACAGCAAGCTAACAGCAAGAAGACAAAAGCTGTATGAAAGAAGGAGAAAACTGTTCCAAAAGACTAGAGACAGGAGTTTACCAGACTGGAGGAGACTTCAGGGAGTTGTGACATGAAGCCGAGGGACTCATCAATGGCAGAGATGTTTCATGAAACACCAGCCCTTTTCAGTCTGGTTTTCCACACTCTCATGCCCCGTTGGGAGGGGTAGAAGTATTCTGTCTGGGAGCTGAAACTCAGCATGTGTATAGGCAGTCTTTCTAGGATGTGTACTGAGCACAGCATCCTGTCCTACTTAGAGATCCCAATAGGAAGCAAGGACCTAAAGGAACTATGCAAGCAGGTAGGGTCAGATTTTTTTTTAAAGCATATATCTTAGGCCACTTTTGCAAATGTATCAAATTTTTTAGCAGAATGTAAAGAGCATAGATTAAAAAAAAAAAAAACCTATGAGATCTAATTTGAATCCCATAATAAGTACACCTATTGGATGAACAATTATTTATTCTCTCAGAGCTTCAGTTTATTAGTTTGTAAAATGAAGGTAACATAGCCAACAATTATTGAGAAGAGTACATAAGCTGATGCTCCTTACATTTCGTGGAATGCTTAAGGCATTCATTCATTCTACACGTTTCTGTTAAGTATCTGCTGAGGGCTAAGCACAGTTAGGAATAAGTCAGTAAATAAGACAATAAAAATGGACTATCCTCATAGTTTACATACTATTTGTAAGTAAACCACATAGAATGTTCGAAGGTGAATAGTTACATGGATAAAAATAAAGCATTGAAAGGAAATGGGTAGGGCAGGGATGGGAGGTACAATTTTTTAATCTTTAAAAGAATTATTTATTTAGTCCATTTTTATTTTTTATTTTATTTTTTTGAAAGGTTTTTGCTATAGGGTGCATGCACTCTCCAGAAAGACAGAGAGACAGAGAGATAGAAAGCAAGAAATCACCCCGCAGGGGGGATGGCCATGCCACAATCTCTTCTCCTCCATTCTCCTCTTGGGATCTAGGGCACACACGCACACGTGCCCAGCGTGAGTTTAAGCCACTGGATCCAGGACTCGAACCGCAGTTGACTACATGGGAGTTCAGACATAGCCATTATGCCAACTGCTGGTCCCTATTTATTCCATTTTTATTTTTTAATTTGATCAGAGAGACAGAGAGGAAGAAAGAGAAAATGAGAGAGCAAGCAAACTGGTGTTGGCCATGGGGAAGTCCACCACCCCAACCACCATACCACTTGCTGGCCCTGGGAGTACAATTTTAAGTGGAGTAATCAGGGAGGCCAACATTCAAGCAAAGACAAGAAGAGGTGAGAGAGAGAAACATGGAGCTACGTAGGAGTCTAGTATCGAAAGCAGTGAAAACCGCATGTATAAAAGTCCTGAGCAGGAAACGGGCTGAGTTGTTTAAGGGTAGCAAACAGACTAGTGAATTTGAAGGGAAGCGAACCAGAGGTCAGAGAGGTCATATGGACTTGCAGGGAGGGTGCCATGGTGAGAATTTGGACTTGATTCTGTTCAAGTAGAAGGTGACAGGATTAGGCTTTTAAAATATAGGGAATGATAATGACTGCTGTGTTGAGAAAAGTTTCTACAGGAGCAGGTGCATATATAGAAACTAGTTAATAGGCTGTTGATAGAATCCAAGAGCAAGCAACTGTGGTGTTTTAGATTAGAATAAAAATATTGGAGGTGAAGAGTAGTGGTGGGGTTCTGTAGTATATTATCAAAGAAAGGAGAGCCTCCAGAATTTGTTGATCATTTGAATGTAGCTTTGAGAGAAAGTAGTCAAGAAAAACTCTTAAGCTTTTGAGTCTAGGCAATGGCGAAAAGTTGCTATTCAGACATGGGGATAATATATGCAAAGCAAGTTGAGGAGTGGAGATCAGGAGTTCAGTGTTGCCATGTTGAGTTTGAGATGCTTATGCAAGTGGAGATGTGGAGTATCCAGATAGATGAAAACAAAGACATGGTATTTAAGACCGTGAAATACCATGAGATTGCCATGGGAGTGAAGATAGAGGAGAAAAGGCCAAGTTGTTCTTCTGTTGGGAATCAAAAGAGATTTATGGAGCTAGCTTCAATACCCTTCTTGACGACATTTTCTGAATCTATGAATTGATATCAAGAGCAAATAGAGTGATATATACACAGTCCACAAAAAATTCCAGGGAATAAATGGTGCTATTATTATTTCACATACTAGAAAATTAAGAGCCAGATAAGTGAATTGATTTGCTTTATATCAAAAAGCTAATTGAAGACAGAACAGTAATTCCAATCCATGTGTCCTGACCCCCATTCTAATGCTATTTCAGACAGACATCTGTCCAGTGCTGTACTTACTTAGTACTTAAGGTAGAAATGCAAGTTTTGCCCTTAAGCTATTTGTTATATTTCATGCTCTGAGTATGAAATAAAAGCTGCATCAACCTAGAATTTAATTACTCATTTTCTAAGCTGAAGGTATTGACAGTTTTAGAAAATAAAAATATTATGAGAAAGTCTTTGGCAAAGTTAAAAAGAGAGAGAGAGAGAGAGAGAGAGAGAGAGAGAGAGAGAGAGAGAGAGAGAGAGAGAGAGAGAGAGAAGAGAGAGAGAGAAAGACAAAATA